TATCGAATTTGGCATCTCGCCAACGAACTAACGATCCTCATATCGAGAGGATCGTACTTCCTTGAGTGGGCCGAAGTATCTCCGTTTGCGCAAAAGTAATACTTCCGTAAAGATCAATATACGAATGTCGTTTCTCATAAGGACCGAAGACACATTGCGACCGTCAAAAATGAGAATGAATACATTTCGCAAGTTAATTAAATAAAATATTTCAAAAGTAATTTAACTAGACTAGAAACATTACCTTGATTTCTTCAACAATTCCGTATCTCCCAGGAAATTGCGAATTATGAATAAAGAAAGGACTCTTATTGTTCTTGACATTATTGTAATATTACATGATAGTGAAATATGAAAATCTAAGAAAAAAATTCCACAAAAAAAAAAATATGCGTATCCAATAGAGCGTTCCGGGCACTTCTCAACTGATTTAATGACAGATCCTTCAACAAACTCTAAATTTATTTTCTCCCGGGAGAAAAAAATTGACGTCAAAAGGAAGATTAACAACATTCTGCTCGGGAGCTGAAAGAAAAACGGAAGACAACGCAGTTCTAAATACTCGAGAAGTCAGAAGAAATACAAATTATATTCTACCTTCAATCGGAAAATACGAAAAAAAAGTTGTAGTGTCGCACAACAGTTTATCAACTGTTATTAGCTCGCCTTTTAATAAACTAAAAGGATTATAAGGACACGAGTAAAAGCACGTTGAAAAATACCGAGGGGAAATATCGGGAATTTTTGTTTTGTAAAAATTTCGATACAGATCGTCAATGTGCACCTCGTGGGTGCACGAAAAGCGGAATTGTTTTCGTTTACGTCGGATTTTTCGACGAATAATACGATCGTCAAGCGATTTCCTCGCTGATAAAGCTGATCCGAAGGACGAGTTTCGAGGGAGAGTGGTGCCATGTCTCAGATCGATATTCCCGTCGAGATAATTTCGCGGAGGGCTTTTCATAATCTCGCTTTCATCCAGAGAGTCGAAACGTCCGCGTCGAAATAGCCCGGCATGATTAATGAATTTGCCGGGCGAACTTTCGCCGTGCGGAAACCCGAACCCGTGCCGAGGGGAGGGTCCTGTCGGCGAGGTCGGCGTAACGTCAACATTAATACTCTTTCAGCCCTTACGTACCTTATATCCTTCCACCTGTCCGCCCACGCGCCGAATTAATGTTTTCGCAGATACGGGCCATTGATTTTACGTCAAATATAGTTATCGGGATTCGGTTATCGGCGCGACCTATGCCGACATTCGACTCGACTGTCTGTTCGCACATGTAACCACGTTAAATATCCGGCTATCTCAACCAAATCGGGATTAGCGGGATCGCTATTAGTAGAAACAGTCCGATCCCGACCGGGCTTACGTCCGCGAATTAGACAGCGATATCGATCCTTTGTCTATCGTCAGTTATAATTTGACGAGAAATAGTTGGATGATCTGAGATATTTTTGCCGCGGCAGACGATACGCCTTTCATAATTCGTGACTTGTTCATCGTTCAACATTCACGATGCATAGCCTCGTACATAAAACAAGAGGAATTGAACGACGATTCCAGACGATTTCCTTTAATTTCATCAAAAAATCCGCCAAGGATAAATAATAAATGCGAACTCGATGATTGTTCAGGTTACTCAAAAATCTCGTAAATAACAAATACTTATGAGACACGAGAGATCCACAGTCCCAAGTGCCTTACGCGATTCTTCGGTGAAAGGAAGAAGAGATCAGTTAAACATCCCGCGTTCTAGAAAAAAGGTAAACGTAAGAGGGAATATTAATTAAGGACCGAGTCGGATGATGAACGCAGGGTTGATTCGCGCCGGTATAGATTACATTCACCGGACTCGTGCACGTTTCAAACGCACTTGCATCCGTGCGAATTAAATGCAGAGCGGATTGTACCTCGCGCAACAACATCGCCCGTCATCTGCTCCTCTCGATCCGGGATGGAATCGAGGATATCGAGAATTCTCCGAGCGATAATCAATAAATGCAATTGTCTACACAAATCCCTGGTTCCGTAAACTGGAAATTAACACCGGCGCGCGTTAATTAGATGGCTCCGTTCTTTTAAAATCCTTCCCACTCGGATAATCAAACTGGGTCACGCTCGTTTGTTTCGCGGGGGAGAAACAGAATTAAATGGTCGAATTCCGGGACGAAAACGAAGATTTTCAGGCCCCTTGCGGTCGGCATTCAACCTTCTCATTTGAATATTTAATGTATAATATCGTGTAATTTCCTGCATGACCGAGACCGCTCTTACACCATTCGTACGACGATTTTTGCGCGCAAGGGATGAAACCTTTGCTCTCGAATGATCTTCCCTACGACCGAAAGTAATCGGATCAGAGGTAATTTCTGAGCCGTAAGAGAACGCGTTCTCTCGAAAGGAATAACTTTAATTGAATATCCGCGCGTTCGTTGAATAATATTATTTTGTTCTTTTATACGAGCACGACGGTTGGGTCAAACTTCAACGGGAGACGCAATTTGCGCAATTCTCCATGTAAACGGTTCAGAAATCAATTTCATCGATAACAGTGATAATTCCCAGTGATAAGACGAGATAGACGCTGAAAAAAAAACGCGCGTAATTAAGCTGAAATTATCAAATAATTATCGCCCGGGGTCTTCTTCCCACGGAGATGTATGTCACGGGTACATCGCCGGCGCGTGACCGACAAACTCTTGCGAAGTTTTCTCATTTCGAATTCGTTAACACGCGAAACCGCCGGTTTACTCAGCTACTTCGTACCGAGTCGTCGGGTCCTCCCCGTCGGCTTAGACATAACATGAATTATGCAACGTCACTTCGAAATCGCGTTGCACTCGCGTTAAGTACACGATTCCGTCCCGATTCGGACTCGGATCGTGATCGTCGGCGGTGACGTCGGCGACCTCGCGATCGCGACGGAAATCAAATCTCCTGGATGATAACCTGGAGATGCGAAGTGATTGACACGCGAAATATATAAACGTCCACACGTACACGCAATGCGGGTCAATAACGTTTGCGTTATTAACGCGCAAACGCCCGTGTGTCGCTCCGTACAATGTACCTTGATGCATCATATCTTCGTACACGTAAATACGTTTACGTGTGACGCACGGAATCCCGCGATTTGCCAAGGAAACTCAGGAAGTACGCCCGCGTTCGCCAGTTATGCCGCGGCTTATCTATCCCGGGGGGCGGGAGAGGGGGTGCCTTCCGCGATTCCCGAAATTTGATAAAACCCCGACCGTTCGCACGCGCGTAATCACGCAACCCTGCCGTTATTTCCACGCGAAACAAGTCGGCCGCCCGCAGTGAAGATACTCCAGATAGAGCGTAGCATCTCACGGAACGTCCGGAATCTATAGGTGATAATTCACGATATCGTGAATTATCACGCAGATCACCCACAAAGATAGAGCCTCTTCGTTCGGGCGCGCTGAAGCTCGAAACTGGCGATGCCTGGCGGTACACAAAGCTGTCTCTAAGAAATTGTTTATGTCTTCACGAGCAAGGACGATTCTGCCGAAAAGTATCTATAAATGTTATTAGAACAAATAATTTTATTGAAGTTATTATGTAGGACGCTTAATCAAGATAATATTGCATAATTTTTTATTGCAAAGTAATAATTATTTTGATGGTCCAAAAAAAATATTTTTGTCTGGTTAAATTTTTAGATTTTTTAGCAAATCTGTTCTTTTATAAGACTTTTTGTGAAAAATTACGAGTTTCTAAATATATTTGAAAGTTTCGTACTAATTTGAAGAAAACAATTATGTACATATGGAAAGAAAATTTTGATACATTAAAAGGTTAACCATATACAGATTTGAAAATAATTGAATTGAATATGTTGAGCATTTAAATTGCTTGCTAAATTATTAAAAATTTATTCAAATTTTTATGTGTTTTAATAAAATCGTTCTTTCCTTATCTAACATCTTTTAGAATTTTAAGAAAAAAAATTATTATAAAATAATAATATCAGAAAATAATTTTAATAAAAATTTCTGAGTAAAAATAAAGTTAGAGTACTTTTTATTGACGCCATCAAACGGGACATTTTTATTCTACGAATTGTTAACCATGGCTGACCATATTGGTACTATTTCTACTTGCGGCCTTAAAAATAGTCTAACGATGGTAATCAACTTGAAATTGAACCCGTAACTTCTCTGACATCTTCGGAAGTTTTCAGATTGAGATTAAGGAAGATGGCTGAAGAACAGCCGAAGTACAAATTGATCTACTTTAATGCACGAGGTCGTGCCGAGCATATTCGCTACATATTCGCCTACGCGGGTATCGACTATATCGACGAGAGAATTTCCAACGATCGCTGGCCCGAGCTTAAGAAGTGTAAGTGTCAGAAATCAAATTAAAACCACTTTTTCGCGTAATATATAATAAATTCGTCGCGATGCAAATTTTCACAGAAGACGCACGCGAAAGATCGATCCGATTTCGATTTCATTGTTGTTAAAAAGGAAATTTGTGCTAAACATAAATATTTCGAGCGTGATAAAAAGGAACAATCGGCGAACTGTTAAACAGCGTGAATTAATCGGGAACGTGCACGTAACGTTTTTATCGATAACCCGAGCGAAGACAAATTGCCCCGGATTCTTCGCTGTTACTTAAGCCTGCGCTTAAGTACTTCGTCGATTGCTTTCTCTTGTTTCCAGCGATGCCTTACGGGATGCTGCCAGTCCTGGAGATAGATGGCAAGCCGATAGCGCAGAGCAACGCCGTGGCGCGTTACCTGGCCCGCGAGCACGATCTCGCGGGCAAGGACGAATGGGAATCGATGCTGTGCGACGTGCTGGTCGATACTTTGGGAGACCTGAAACAATGTAAGTGATACATATGCTCGGTGCAGTACCATAACAGTTCCGCAAAGCCGCTTACAGCCGCGTATCTTCCTCCCCACTTTGGCGCCGAATCAATATTCCTTTTCGGTCGTGAATCCGAATTGCAATTTCCCGTTTTTTTCCTCTAAGAATTTTTCGTCGACGAAAAACTTCACGCTCACTGTCACGGTGCAATTTAATTAAGTCCCGCAAGTTCACGCGAGTCGACGCGGTCTATGACGCTCGAGCTTTTCAAGCGTTCGGCGACGTGAAAATGAAAACGTTTTCCCGAGGAAGCTCTTTCGGATAGAGAGGGAAAGTGCGCAACGCGAGCGCGAGCGCGCGTACGATGCACGACGTAGATCTTCAGGAAAAACTCCGCGACGCGGCTGGATGTGACGGGATAGTTCCGCTTTTCGCTCCTCTGAAAGACAGGCGCGAGATCGCGCGACCTATATTTCCGAGCTCTCCCCGAGGTCGTCACATAATCGAGCGGACGGCAATCGTTCCAGAAAAGCTTCTCGCGAAGGTCTGACGTGACACGTCGCGCGACACCGCAACCGGATCGCCGCCGGCATAATCTCCGAGTAATAATACACGCGATTCCAATTAGACGCTTAACGAGACATCCTAGGTTATGAGATCCTAGGTTATCGTTCCGTAGAATTCATAATTCTGATCTATTCGGTTGCTCGATAAACGGCTTTTGGGAACGTTTGGGAATATCCGTCTACGGAACGTACAACGACGCGCTTTAATTGCAATGTGTCACTTTGACGATGCATTTGTATTTCACGAAAAAAACAGTTTTTTGCTGGCAAATCTAAAAAAATGTGGCCAGATACAAATTTAAAAATAATTTTGTTGGACCATCAAAATTATTATATAGAATACTAATAATACTACAAAAATTTTTGATTTTCTAACAATTAATTTGAACATTGTATATAATAATTTTGAAGGTTCAACAAAGTTATTTTCAGATCTGCATTTGGCCAAATTTTTATACTTGCCAACAAAATGGTTTTTTCCTGGGTACGAGGAGGAACGATTAACGCTCGCTTACGGTAATGTATGTTTTTCAGTTATCTTTCAATATCGCACAGAAGAGGATCTATTTAAGAAGGAAGAGAAGAAGGCGAAACTCTTGAAGGAAACGATACCGTTCTACCTGAATAAATTCGAGCAAACTGTTGCCGAGAACGGCGGCTATGCGGTCGGTTCTATGGTAAAGAGAATCGTAGATTCTAAGTAATAATATTCTGCCTCTACACGACAAGTTTAATTAAGTATAAATTAAAATTAATTAGTTTATACATTGGAAAATGTAAAATAAATGCATGGAAAGAACGGAGGTTTTGTTGAAGTTTCTAAAAATTTGGCCAGATCTGAAAATAACTTTTTTTTAAATTAGTTGATAAAAAATAAAACATTTTAAACAAAATTATTCAAATAAATTTTTAAATGTCTCGGCGAAATCGTTTTTTTTTTGCGTGAAAAAAAAAATATTTTTTGTTCGATATTTTTGTTAAAATAATACATTAAAATCAGAGCTTACATGGAAGCTTGACGAGGCGAACGTCGCGGCTTTTAATTAAGACGGCTTTCTTTGGCATTGCGACAAATTTACGTTTTCGACGGTTTTCGGTAAATTGCTGCTTTTCAGACCACGTGGGCGGATTTTGTTTTCACGGTGGCGTTGGAGAACTTCGAGAACATCTTCGGCGCGACCGCTTTGGAAAATTATCCTGCTTTGCGCGGCCTGAAGAAAAGGGTGCACGAAATCAGCGCGATCGCTGACTGGCTGACTCGACGACCTCATTCGGAGTTTTGAAATGTCGTTTCGACGACGGAAACCGGAAGGCGATGTCGACAACACAAATAAGTACATATCTGACGCTTGCAACTCACTGTCCTGTATCGTCGTGACACGGCGATCGATATTAATCGTGGCATAACGCAAACGCAATATGCTCTTCATCTGTTCCTTCTGTGCCCATTTTTGTAGGCTAACTACATTTAGAATATCGTCCCAAATATTTTTGTATACAATTTGAACTGCGAAATTGAATCTTAAATTGTTCTCTCAGTTCATAATACATAAATATATTTGCTTCGAAAATAATAATGTTATGTCAATGCTTGCTTTTAGATGAATTTTGTTATCAGTCGAGTGGATAAAACGGTAAATCAATTTAGAAGCTTAAAAAGAAGTGATATTTGTATATCATTGGTCAGAAAAAGAATAATGCGCGATTTCACTTATTATTTGGACAACAAAGATTGAAAAAATATTATCTTTTTCTTCCCAGTTCAGCTTAAAGGATAATTTTGTTATATCAGTTGAAATTTATATCATCCATCAATTTCAAATTGTTAACATTGTTTACATTGTTCATGACATTCATTTTCGCTGATTAAATGGACAACGCACGCGTGAGATTACTATCGAATGAATGTCTAGAGTACAAATGAAGCTTGATCAATGTGTTCATTTATCGCGTCGTGTGATGTGTGAGTGGTGCTACGACTTTTATGTCGCCGAAGAAAAATCCACGTCGTAGAAAAATTAAGCGCGACGAGAAAAATATTGTAAGATAACGACTATCTCGTTTCGCGATTCGCGATTAATTGACCTATCTCGCAAAACGAATCCAAATCGAATAAACAGCGCGAATAAATACGAACAATTTTTCGAAAGCTAAACACGACACAAGTCATTCTTTCATGTTTGCGTTTGTTTGAACCTTCGATTTAGATCCGTTTTTATACTGGATGTTTGATTACATTTCTGTATTGATTACTTTCTGTAGACAGATAAAACAGACTGTACTGATAAATAAAACAATAAAAGTCGAAAAGTCCTGTATCATTTTGCGAGCTTCGTAAAGTTATAAGTGAGTTATTAATTAATAAAGGTTTGCGAATGAGCGTGCATTTGCAAATTTTTATTAATTAATAATTCATTAATAATCAAGAGCCAAAATGGTCGAGAACTTTTCTATTTAATATCCGTTCTATTTACCTACGAGAAGAGATACAGTTGTGATTAGTCACCTTGTATCAGTGGTTATATCATTCCCACTTGTTTTGCACGAAATAAATCCAATCGGAATTGAATACGATATAATACACAGGGTAATATTAAATATACAGAAAAGCAGAAAAATCTATTGAATGAACAAACATAACGATGTAAATACAATTCTGTATGCATATTTCATGTATAGAATTTTTCGACGATGGTCAGCAAGAATCAAATAGAATGCAATCAATAATTAATTGTAATAAAGAGTTCAAGATAATTTAACGACCTTTTGCTTTTATCGATAAGCGATTTTATGAACGTACTTCATAAGATCTCGATGTAATGTTTTGTTTGAACGAGATAATAAACGAATGCGTATGCATGTAAAATATATCTCATTGTTAGAAAGAAGTAACGGAAATAGATTTTCTTATATGCTATGATGGAAATGATAAAAAACTCTATGCTTTCGTCGGCACTTAAAGACGTATTTGCGGGTATGGCAACATAGTCAATTGTAATTATCAAACAAGGTGAAATTTCTTTAGAAAAAAAAATTGAATGCGAATGTGTGTATGTATGTACATGTGCAATATGTAATGTATGTAACTAAGTGTACTATTAATTTGAGATTACAAATGGAGATTACAAATAATATAAATGTTTTTGTGATTGCAAAATACTGTACGACTGATAGTAATAATGATAATAATATGCAAACAAGTGTAACCTATTTGATTAACATAGCATATGTTAATATCAATAGCGCCCCGCTCATAAAAACATAAGAAAACTGACTTGACTTTGCGTCAAAGTCTATTCATTTTTTTATCGACTAAATCATTTTGTTTCAAGATTTTATTTCAAGTTTCATTAAAATTAATTCGATCAATTGTAACGACGATTGTTTTTGAATTACAAGGAAACATGGAACAAAAAACAAAGTAAAAAAAGATTTAAAAGTAATTATATATTTTTTTATTTAATTGAAATCGTAATATGTCAGAATTTTTTTTAAATATTTTATATTCCATATTTTCGCATTTGTATACGTGATGTCTCGTTCATTTTTTTCAGACCATCCTCTATTAATTACAAGAAAGTTTGGAATAAAACTCAATAAAAAGGACTAAAAGTTGTTGCATATTTTTTTATTTAATTTAATTAAAATTGCAATATTAAAAAATTTTTCAATTTTTCTGCGCGACATTCTATTTTTTCATATTCGTATATTTAATTTCTTTTTTCTTTTTTTTCAGATTGTTTATTAATTACAAAAAAGTTTGGAATGAAAATGAATTAGAGATTGTTGCATATTTTTATATAATTTAATTAAAATTATGATATTTAAAAATTCGATTCAATAATATATTTTTAACGCAACATTTCATGCTTTTGTATTCATACCTTCATATGCTCGTCGTTTCCTTCATTTTCTTTTCGTCATCAAATCGATAAGTCGCAATACTCAAAATCGCAAATCGAATATCGCTAAGACATCGATAGTGCAAGAAGATGATTATCGATCAGCGCGAAGGTCGCCATGGAGGTTAGGTTACTATCAGATTATTCGATCGTGCGTGTATAATGCACCTTGCGAATTCGTATTGAAGTCATTGAAAACTGTCGCGCCAAGACGTTTCTTACGATCAACGATCTTGATCTCAAATGACAGGTCGCTATCTCGACAGAGTACAGCTGTAAAGAGAACATGGCGACCGCGAAGACGATTCTGCCCGAGGAAAGCGAGCTAACTGTACAGGAGGTGAATGTTGGCTGGACTGTGCTGCAGGCCGCATCAGTTTATATCGGCAAGGCCTGCGAGTGGTACAATAATGTAAGTTGCAGCTTTGTTGCGACAACAGGACACTTCCGTCGATATCATCCACAATATTCATCGCGTGTCGGGCTGTCCCTCTCTGAAGAGTTACATAATGGCCCCCCTGCAATAATGTTTGACGTACCTATTGTAAATAATAACTGGATGTACTCTCATTTGGTACAACATGTAAATTAGAAATGCCTCATGAAATAAATTGATAAATCCTTTAGTTAAGTTGTAGATATGTTTAGATTGTGATATAGCAAGAGTATGATACACAGGTATCAGACATACTATACACAAGTAAAAGAAACATTAAAGATGAATTTCTAAATATAAGATCTTCACAATCTGTAAACTTCTGAAAACTGCGATTCACCCTACAAATATTGTGAAGCATTTTTTGATCGGTTAATTGACAAAGACCTTGTTCCGATATATCAATCAAATGCTATAAAACACTTAAAATACAGCCAAAGATGTATGTTTAAATGAATGGTATTCTAATTGTAAGAAATCTTTTTTTCAGGAGTTTATGTTGTGTAGACAAGAGGAACGCGATCCGCGTCTCTGTCTTAAAGAGGGAAAGGATGTGACAGCTTGTGCTATGGATGTTCTTAAAAAGATGAAAAAACACTGCCTAGAAGATTTTAATGCATACATGTATTGCCTTGAAAGATCATCGGGAACATTGGAGTTATCTCGGTATGTCATCTTATATCCTATTGCATTAGTTCTTTATCTAATATTTGATATTAATCAATATAATGATAACATATAACTTAGATGCCGATTGACGCAAACTGCCCTGGACAATTGTGTTCGTACAAATTTACATATAGAACGTCCACCTTTTGGATATTTCTGTGAGGCTAAAGTGCATAACACATCAAGACCACGGCCACCAAAGGAAGAACCTATAGAATTTCCAGATCCAGTTCCTGGATTATCAGCTGATATACCACGTGAGAAATCGAAATATTTCAACCGCTTCTGGTTTAAATCGTAAATTTGTCAATAAACATTGCTATAGTTCTTTGGTCGTGCTGCAAAGATTATGTTTGCAAAGTTCGGGATACGTCATGTAGACAATTATAGAAAGCAGAGCGTGTGCAATTTTCAATGCGCTTATTGAACGTAAAAATGTTCGTTTCATATAAAAATATATAGAATTGTATGTTCTGTGAATAAATATAACAGCAAAGTAAGTCATTCGCTCGACTATTGTTGTTACATCTTGTACAAATATAAATATGAAACGTAAAATATACTTTTATTCCATCTTAATTGTGTGTATATAATATTTAGTGTCATGTAAAATATACTAATATATTATTGAAAAATATTTTATCTGTAAGTATTATAAAAATTAGTTTAAATTAACATAGATTTTAGGAAATATTGAAATACAACCTATGAACAGTGGGATAAATAATATAAACACAGAGTTTAATTGGGTTTTTCGATAAAATTATATACTTCATTTGTTTTCACATGATCTCATAACAAAATTAATTTCCAAAAGCAGCATGAGCAAAAATATATCAACACATTCTTATTTTGGAAGATACATGGATAATTAATTGAAAGTATTGCTTCATCGGTATTATTACATTTTATGTACACGAGACACGATCAACTTCAACAGTCAATTATAAATATATGCGAAAAAAGCGACAAGTATAATTTTTAGAAACACAGATGTATAAATCTATCGAAATATCTTTCAAGCAAGAAAGATCACGTTCAAAACCGTTTATGAAGAATGCCGGCTTTCATCTAATTCTACAGAGTATATTCATACACTGCAGACATAAATACAGATTTCATTGTCAGCTCATCGCAATCGATATATTCACCTAGTTTGTTGAATATCAAAGAAATGCACACAATATTTCTGTGTTGTCATCTACAAGTCTTTGTAGAGCATAATTATGTGTTAGCTCCATGTTATATCGTAACCACTCCAATTTGCACTCGGTGCTAAATGCACGCGTCTACCGTTGTAGAAGAATGTTACCACGCCACGATATCCAGATCTCGGTACACCGCTCTGTAATGTCATATTACGTCATATATTGATACAAAATACAAAATTTAAAATAGAATATTACTGAGAAAGATACGTTACCCTGAAATCGTCCATTAAACCAAGCAATTTGGTAGTATTTTTAAATGATTGACGAGTGTAGTATGGTATCCGTACTGGACCAGGGGCAACTATATTACCACTTTTCAATTCTGAATAGCTAACCACTGTTGACTGGTACACTTGGTTAACGAAAGCTATATCGTAATTATCCTGTAGAAATGAACATAATGATTATAAATGTATCTTGTATTCGATATATATTTGCCAGAGATACCAGCATTTGCTCTCTTACTTTTAGTAAATAGGATAGATTCATCTTGGTAAAAGGCACAAATTGTTCATTCAACTTGATGTACTTCAAGTGTTTTTCAAAGAATAAGCCGCTAGAAGTGACAAAACATTTTAATGCCGATTAAATTTGTTCAAACTATGCTGATCAATCACAAGTTAAAAAATTTTTCCACAATATTTTTAATATATAAATAAAAATATAGATAAAAAGAAGTACTTGCTGACTCCAAGTTTGCCGAATGTTCTGGTTCGTGAAATTTCCGGGCGGATGCAAGCTCTATTCTTACGTTGTTCCGGCTGCCTTATCCAATCATCCCAATATCTATGTAAGCAAAAAAATCATTATTGTACAAAACAGATATTGCATCAATAATAAGTTGGTATAGTATGAAAATATGAAACGATTCTTACGACTTGGGCCATTTCGGCGCGAGCTCCAACCATAAATCACGTGTGAGCATCCAACCTAAACCAGGAAAGAAATCTGTCCTATAAAGTAAATGTGGCGCATGTTCATCCACTAAACCGGCTTTACCATTATCATTCCACGCTGACACGCACCATAGAGAGCTATCGTTCACTAATAAGGGATAAGTCCCCAGGAAGTACTCATAGAAGTCTGGAGCAACGTCCAAATCATCTACAAATGTACGTATAAAAATAATAAACAATTTTATATTCCATAAAGATAAACCGCATTCATTATGAAGATATGGCTATTAACCTTCAACAATAATTGCAGTGCTGTATCCTAACTTTAGAAATACTTGATTTAACGCCCATTTATAGTGACGTGCGATTTTGAAGTATCCTCTGAATTTCTTTTCTTTAGGTGGTATTTCAATATCAGATTGATCAGGTTGCTGGAACATAAGTTGAAATATGTCATTGAAAGAAATTAAGAAAATTAAGATATTTTCTTAAATAATAAATATAAGGATCTATGCAAATTAAGACTTTAATACCTTTATATGTAATAGCTGATTTCCATATCTGGCTATGACATCAGCGGTTTGTCGATGATCACAGTCTTGCGATACAACTATTGGGAACTGTTCTTTGCTAGGTCTTAACTTAATTAATTGATTTAAACACCGCTCTACTGTAATACGATTACAAGAAACGACCAAAATAGCAATTATTGGAGATCCATCGGGAAGTTTTTGTCTCAAGGGTGTATTGTGTGTTCCCTCGGTCTATCGAGAGATTAAAAAATAGAAAATTGAGAATAAGAGATATATTGCTAGGATTAAATAAAAATTATATTTATAAATTGTATATCAAACAGATCAGATTGTATCCCGATATATACTCAATATTGAAAATCTACAGTATATGCGATGTATAACGTGAACTATTGATTTTCGGTGCAGTGTATATATCAGGACATGATCTCTATATCGGAATTGATAAAATAATTATATAGATTAAAATATATTTACAGATAAGATAGTATCTTGCGTCGGCTCCTGTTCATTTTCAAGTATTTTTTTATTTTTACTCTCGATTTTTTGTAATAAGATACTCTTATTCTTATTAACTTCATGTTTTTTGTCTTTATTTTTCTCTGTATCATCTTTCAGCTGGAGAGCAGCATTTATTCTTTCATATTCTTCTAAAATAACAAATCACATGTTTCGACTTATCCATTGCTTCAAATGTTTTGCAATATGAACTTTTTTAAATGAACTTACTCTTAAGACGTTTGTTCTCATTGATTCCTTCAAGAAGTTCTTGATTTATAATTATCTGTTGTTTTACTTGTTTTTCCAATCTACTGATTTGATTTGCTAGTTTATCCTAAGAATAGAGGCAAGAACACAATAATTATTATGGTTTTTAATTTCTTTACAATGCGTCATAACACAATACAACGATCTTCTCACCTTGTCCTGATCTTTGCCGACCGACTGTTGATCCAGAAATAAAAAATATGTAGCCACAGCCCATAAGATGAGGGACCCAAAGATAATACTGACTGATCTATTCCGCATGACAAAACCAAGTGTCACCGTAACTGCAACATTAAAGAATACACTGCAGATAAGAGATAAACAAATAGACGACAAACCGCAAGGGACAGAGCGAACAGATACTAACAAGGGTTCCATACGTCACAGCACACGTCAGTACATATTTATTACGCATGGATCTCTAAATGTGTCCTCCGAGTATCGTTCCTTCTGCGAAATTACAATGGCGGTTAGGACACACAGTACCTTGACAGGTACATGCCGTCAACAGAGAAGTGTGAAGTGGGATTTACTCACGGGTACTGCAATCATATCCGCAAATTGGGAATCCACGTAGTCGCAAATCATATGGAAGCGTCGCGCTCCGTGCCGCTGGTACGAGACGCAGTCGTGGCAGGCGGCACTTCTGTGGGGCACATTATTCACGTCACACGTGGATGCGTGGTAGGGCCAAGTGTTGCGGGCGGAAGGGAGAACGAACTCAACGATGGTCAACGACGACGTTGGCGGCGCGCGAACCGCGCTGAAGGCAGAAAAGCAGCGTGCCTGATATTCTTGTTTTTCCAGCTTGATATCTCGAAATAATCTGAGTTGCCAGGGATGGGACTTCTTCCGCCTCGGCAAGGTTGGACGTCAACAAGATGCGTCCGCGAGGCGCAGGTTACTTACCATTATGAGACAGCGAGCGACGATGTTCCTTTCGTGGACGAGCTCAAGATTCGCCGTTATTAAGATAAATCGAGCCTCAGATCGGCGAGACTCATCTCTCGTCTAGGAGGCGAGTCGCGGAAGAAGGAAACCTGAGGAAGATCCTGACAGCGGCGATGCTCTCGGCTCACGTTGACGGCCTGGAGTCTGGGACAGCTGTCAGCTACGTCACGAGAATCTTTACCCTACGAGGACACGAGCGGCGAACAGTTCTAGGTTCTACTGTAGCGGCGGGGCGCTCGGCGACTCGGAACGTGATAATCCATCGAGACGGCGACCGCGACTGTGCAGCGTGGCGATCGCGCGGGACAGCGCACGTTATCATCGCTATCGTTCTCCGCCCGATGTTCGATCGAATTTCCTATAACAATGAGTTTCGAGGATGTGATACGGCAATCGGTGGACAAGAGACGAAAGGAGAGAGAGAGCCCTCCAATTTCATTCTCGGAATCAGTGTCTGATTATTCATTTATTCCTTTATATGATAAGATACTGCTGAAATTGTATCACGGCATCATTTTAATATAAATGACAGTAATAATATTACATATTAATATTATGATTTGGAACACACTTTCAAAGTTTCTAGTATATCGTAGATTTATCAGCTACGCTTATTTTTTAAAAATGATACAAAATGCGGTTTTTTGATGGTTTCTTATCATTTTTTTAAAATTACAATTACATTTTTGATATATTACGTACTAGAATATTATTGCAAATTTGGATCCAGCATCTTTAAATTTTTAAAGAATATTTAAAATTTTTTTACAAATTATTATTGTTACTATTTTTATTTATAATACTTCAGCCCTTTTTTCGACAAACAAACGATTTTAGAGAGAATAGAATATAACAAAAAGATACATAATTCTACAATGAAGATTTAAATTTAAAATTCGCATTGACAACCAATTGAATTTCAAGGCGTTTGCCAGATTAATTTCTTTCATCTGTAAAAAGATTCATTAGATTTGATTTTCGTGTTTTATTTCGTGATTGCAAAATCAGAAAAAAATCGGAAAAAAAAGAAATATATATTTTTTTCACCGTTCCCAAAATTAAAAACTCCGAAAGAAAATGTATAAGTTCTGTTTTTTTAACGCAGAATTCATTTCTCTTTTTTCGTCTTTCTCCATGTTGGAGAGAAAAAAATAAATTGTGCAAGAAGCTATATAGAGAACGGATCCATATGTGTATTTCTTTATTGTTCCTTGTCTAACTTATCGACGGGCGGTTTTATGGAACAGGCCAAACCTCTCTAAGAGGTCTATTTTCTGTCAAAGGCGTTACGCTCGCAATGATTCGTGGTGATTCGCGGCGGATTGTTTTTGTATATTATCGGCGGTGGTCGTCGGCACGTTGCAGTGTGTCCTGGCGCACCGAGGCGCATTTAAGTAAACGTTCTCGCGATCGTCCGGCCGTTTGGCTCCGGCCGTGTGGCCAGCGGCGACTCCGTCGTACCAGAAAAGCATCCTCGAAGCAGATCCGCAAAGTGAGCGTTCACCCGGGAAAAGGGGACAACGAGGAAGAAAAGTTAAAGGAAAGCTCTCGTTTCCCACGGGAATAACGGAACCGAAGGGTAGAGGATCCGCGACGTGACAACCCTCACGTCCGCTGTGTGATCGGCCGCGTGATATGAGAGCCGCACACACCGATAAAAATATAACGTGACAACGGCGACAACAACGACGACGACGACGACGACGACGACGACGACGACGACGACGACGACGACGACGACGACGACGACGACGACGACGACGACGACGACGACGACGACGAC